TTTAATTTGATGAGAGGTAGGTTATTGATTTTTAACTAAAATATGTTTTACACTCCCAGTGAAATTGACGGGAGCTAAGTTTCACAATTCTATATGTTAGGTTGTACAATATATCACATTCATTTTTAATTTAAAAGAGTGGAGGGAGTTATAAATCCTGTCTGATGATGATAGTTTTTTATACCATTTTGTGATTATAGTGTTCTTTTCCCTGAGTAACAATACAACAATCGACCTTGGTATGGTAATTTTCCATCACATTCTGTTTCACACATGAAGACCAAATTTGGATGGTAAGCATTAAAGTGGTCTACAACGAGCTCCAAGAAAGTCCTCGGTATAATTAAAATTAAGTCATCCTCATATTTTTAATATATTTAACTTGAAAAGGTAGATACTCGAAACCCAATATATGAGGTCATAACCTGATCTGACAATACGCCTCATCCCTAATCAACCTAATGAAAAATATTTAAACTGAGAAGGCAAGTCAATCACCAAAAGAAATTTCCATGTTTTCTAAACATTGATGAACAACTCTGCCTCTATGAGGTCTGCCATTTTTTAGGTAAGTATTTTTCGATAATTTCTTGGTCATAACAGACTGCGGTGAGGTAGCCTTCAACAATACGTAGTCGGTTCGTCCTCCAGTGTAAATTCCAGCCCAGACCATTATACTGCCTTTTCCAAACTGAACCCCACTTTTCTCGACTCTTCGCGCCTGTCACTATACAGACAGAAACGCGCCTCATTCCACCTGGTGTTCTCTTCTAGGCGCTCACTGCACCATAGTTTCCTGAGCTGCTGGTGGCGGGCTGTTGCTACACTCGTCTGAAAGGGCGATACGAGGCCAATGTTGATAAAGGTTTTGCCAAAACAAAACATCTTGTACTTCGTTTAGGATCTGTCGGGTACAATGGAAAGGGCTCCTTCTTGCAGCAATGGCAATATTTCTCTCCTCTCTTAGCGTTGTAATGCTCTGAGATCCACCACCAGGCCTCCTGCTAACGCCCGAGAGACCATTCTGAGAGATTCTCTACGAAACGCCAACTGCCTCTGCGATATCCATCGGTGACCTCGATGATTCATTCTCACAATAATATTGCAAACTTCTAGTTCAAGATGATATATAAAATTACCCACCTCCCTTTCAGTACATCTTAATCCCTTAGTTTTAAACCTAACTTCGCGAACTATCCCCAAAGAATTTGAAAGCAACAGTGCTTCGTGAAATGCAGCAAGAAGTTGCACGTAGACCCTACTAGAAGTGTCACTGTTTCTTCGCTTCTTAGTACCATATTTGGTTTTCTGTTATAGTGCCAGATTTTATTTTAGTTTATTTTAAAATTTGTACATTTAAACTAATTTACTTGTAGTATACAAAACTAAATACTGTTGTACAATAAATATAAAAAAAATTGGAATGCTAACAATTATTATTTTTGTACAGTAATGTATAGAAGTTTCACCAGACTTGGAAAAGAGCCGGTTAGGATTGAATATAAACATTTACTGCTTTTTAAAGTGCAGTATTTACAAATACTTCATGCCTGTATCGTGCCTCTGTACCGGCCATAAAATGTTGATGATATAAACTTTCGATAATCATCAAACTTCACTAACAAACACGCAACGATTGCCCATCGAGTCTGGTAATAAAATAGTCCAGTTTCAAAGCACCGAATAAACTTTTATACAAGTATGAGCGTTTCCATTCCACCTGTTGAACAGGTTTATTCGTGAATGAAGTATCACTGGCAATATTTACAAACAAATTAAGCTCTAATAAGTCCAGTCCTAAATGTTAGGGGTGAAGATTACTTTTAAATTCATTATTTTCTGTGGTACGAACTGTTAATAATTTTTTTTTCAAATTTTCATATATCTATCTCTGTCGTAATTTAAAATAAACTTAAGAACATAACTGTAACAAATTTAGATACAGTGTGTCATTTCAGATAAAACAGTACATACACAGAAGCCCTGCAACTGTGGTACCAATGGTTAAACTGATTTAAATTAGCAAAACTTAAGATTGCATTAATTCCAAGAATTTTATACATTTCTCAGCTACCGTAAGTTAGAACTATTAAATAAAATAAAAAATCCATGTTTTTTAGTTGGTTCTATTTAACCAAATTAATGATTTAATACTATTTATACTGTTTATGAAAACATTGGTTGAGGTGAAAAACGATGAATGAATATATCGCACACTCACAAGAAAAGTGACACAATTAAAAAAAAATTGCAGGCGATACAAATGAAAATTTACTTTTTTTGGACTTATTTATTAAGTACACGCCGTTGGTGTTGTTGGCGATAAAAACTGTCATGATCCATCAATACTGTCTTAAGTTTGTTTTTCCAAGGCGTAAGTGAAAACACAAAACTTTAAAAATCCAGCAGCCCTATCCATAAAAAACAACCCCTTTTTGAGCTGTGACACTTTTCTTGCGTATATTGGCTCTCACTAATTTATGTTACTTTTCACTACCGATAATGGTGGTCAACGAATGAATTTAAGGTAATATTTTTTTATGGTAACAGACAACATAAAAACCTAACAACGAGCATAAATCCATGTAGTAAGCATTACTAAGATTGTTTGACGCAAATGGGCTTTCCTCTTGAAGATAGGCCTAAGTAGTTATTTAAAATACAAAACTAATTAGTGAAATGAAAGCGTTATTGATGATTAAAAATAATGTAATTTAAACATTAAAAAATCGTTGAAACTGTGAAATAATGTAAAAGATAAAAGACAACATTGTTAAAAAATTATGAAAAAACAATATTATAATTAAGGATGTTATTAAAATAAAAGAAAAGAAACTAAAATAATTCAAGAATACTCTAGATCAAGGTGTGGTCTTGGAGAGAAAAAAATCAGTTTTTACTGCCAAGCTTTCGACCTATTTTAAGGTCATACTTAATTTCACATTACGAAAAACATATTTGCACAGTTGATTCAACCTTTTTTTTAATAATGTGAAAATGTGTATACGGTACGGCATAAAATCATTCTCTAAATAAAAAAAAATATTGACGTTACTCGAAATGTGTTACTTTTCCTGATAAATACTCTCACCGATGCTTTAAAGCTCGACACAGAAATAAGATATGCCATTTTTAGTGAATGGTGACAGTACGTCCCCGACTATTCTAAAGTGACACATAATGCTCCTAGCAAGTAAGAGTGCATTTGTGTAATTTTTCCTGTAGCATACTTTAAAAAAACCTAAATAATCCGGTTTTTATAATTTTTTCGACTTGTGTCGCGATTCTTGTGGGTGTGCGATATGGCAAAAAGATAAAAATATGGAAACAAAGGTTGTACGTTCATATGATGTGTTGGTGTCCCTGGGGATCGAAATCAGGATAACGGTTAAAGCGGCGGCGTATTGAGTAACGGTCGTGGGTTCGAGTCCCGCTGGTTACACTAATTTTTCAACACAACCAAATTTTAAATAAAAATTAAAAATCCATTTAATTTAATAAATAATTTATTTTAAAATACATGCAGTGCTAAATATTTGCAGCTGTGTAAAAATCGTAAACTACAATGCTAATACGAATAAAAATGTAAAATTGAAAATGAGTGGATGATATCATAAGGGCTATAAAATTTTAACTGAAACCCATTAGAGTTGGTGATCCGATGGACGAAATAACTTATTTCAATTAATTAATCTTTCATGTAAGGTATTGGTTGAGATAAAAAATCAGTGTCGCGAGCGGGATTCGAACCCACGACCTTCGGCTAAATACGCCGCTGCTCTACCACTTGAGCTATCGTCACCTCGATCCACACGGACACCAACTTCCCATTGAAAAATGTCAAAAATGAAGGAAAATCGGAAGGTGGGTTGAGATGGGAAGTTGTCCGAGTGGATCGAAGTCACGATAGTTCAAGTGGTTAAGCAGCTGCGTAATTAGCCGAAGGTCGTGGGTTCGAATCCCGCTCATGACATTGACTTTTTTATCTCAACCAATATCTTACATAAAAGATTAATTATTTAATCGAAACAATAAATTTAACTTCGAGATATCGTTTTCTTAACCTGTGCCCTGCGGCTGTAGTGCTGGTTGTAGTGTTAATTGTGATATTTATAATATGTATTTTTATATTTACAGACTACAAGTAAATTGTTTATCATCTTTTACACTTATAAAACATATTACATTTGCTGACTAGCCAATTAGATGATGGAAAATTGAGAAAACTCATCTAATACTACACATTTACGTTTATAAATATATTGTGACGAAACTGTTCATTCAGTATAGTGTCTATTATTATTATTATTTTGCTATTTCTAACAATTCATAATTTGTCAAGTTGTAATTGTACTAGAAACATATTCTTCCTCACTTAATATTTTAACAGTCTGTGTCAAAATGTGGGTGTTTAGTGACCGTTAGACAATGATTATTTGGATATCGGTAAAATATTAACATTTTCTTTATCGAGCCAACGTTTCGATCTTTATTGAGATCATCTTCAGGGCAAAACGCACGATAAAGAAAATGCTTTTCTAAAAACCTACGTCACACCAGACCGCATCTCACGATATCCAAATTGTCTGTGTTAGTTTTATTAGGTTTTGTGGTCCGTTTGACCAAATAAATTCTTTTTAATTAATAAAGGTTTTGGTTGCGATAAAAAAGTCAGTATCACAAGGGAGATTCGAACCCACGATCTTCGGCTAGATACGCCGCTGCTCTACCACTTGAGCTATCGTGAGCTCGATCCACTCGGACACTAACTTCCCATCCCAACCTCACCTTTTGAATTTTCCCTCCTTTTTGCCATTTTTCAATGACACCAATGCGCTTGTGACACTGTCTTTTGTATCTGAACCAAAACCTTAATAGTCTGTGTTAAGATAATTATATACAAGTTTCCATGAAATAAAGGGTTTTATTTACTTCATCTTAGCCATCAACTACTGAAATATTCAGTGTTAATTCAGATATAAAAAAAGGAATTTTTTTACCTTGCGGCGTAGTATTCGAAGAAGGCCACGAAGATCTCGAAAGACCTCGTGACAGCCGCCCACATGTCTCATGACCAACGGATCACTTCTACCCGTTCAGACATTTCACCGAGGTGCACTCTCGATATACCTTTTATTTAAAAAATAAAAATATTAATATTTAATTTACAATTAGAAAGCCAAAATCGTTCTTTCGTAGTATCTGCATTGTGTATACGTTTGTAAAAATTTGGTTCTATTTTAGTCCAAAGTAAGCTTCTAGTTTCATATTGTGGGAATTCCAATTCGCAATAAAAAAATCATTATAAAGTTGAAACAATAAATAAACTTATTGAACACTCTTTGTGGTTTTACCTTTCAAATTTGTTTTTCTCAGTGGGTTTCCTCGGAGTTAGTGCCTTTTTCAGGATTCACCCCCGGAGAATTGACCGGGACCGAAAGTCTTTTTAAATATTTATGCAGGCGTGATCCGAAAAGGCCTGGAACTGAATGTCGCCCGGGGCAGAATTTCCTTCTGACGTCAATCAGGCCCTGCCTCTGGCAGCCGAATTTCGATTGATTCTTCTTCAAATTTAAGCCGTTTCTCTTTCAAGCCTTTGATTAATTCTACGTAAAGCTTGCAGACAGCAGCAACAGTAGTGTGAAAGACCGTTTTTTCCAGTCGGGAGGGTGAAGTACCGTGCGCCACATGCTACATATATCAAGAAAGTCATCCCATATCCCATCTACTTGGACCTTTCCATTATTCATAGGGGACAGTAATTTCAATAGCATACAGACGTGATACCATACGTAACTAATATAGCTATGAAAATAATAATAAATATTTATAACGGGTAAAAACAATACCTTATGATTTAGGTCTCTAAATGAACATAATTAAAATTGAAAAATAAAGAAATGTTTAGAAAAATGATCAGAACATTTAACATTATAGAAAAAGTCACTAGTTTTCGTGGTCCGCTTGACCAATTAATATCTTTCAATTATTTAAGGTTTTTAGTTGAAATAGTGAATGTGATTAGTTAAATGAAATGTATCTTCACTAAAGCTCTCCGTGACCATTTCATTTGCCGAAGAGAATCAAATAGATTACACGACATTTGAAAAATGGCAAAAAGAAGGGAAAATTCAAAAGGTGGGGTTGAGATGGGAAGTTAGTGTCCGAGTGGATCGAAGTCACGATAGCTCAGGTGGTAGAGCTGCGGCGTATCTAGCCGAAAATCGTGGGTTCGAATCCCGCTCGTGACACTGACTTTTTTATCTCAACTGAAAACTTTAATTAATTTTAAAAAAACTGTAGCTTGGCTCGTGTTCCAAACATAGATGTATCAATAAGTGTTAAATTAAATATTCCAGTTTATTAGCGTCTGTGGACAGGTTATATGATTTACATTTTAGTATACAGAACTTCTATTCTTGTGCGAGTTCACGATAGCTCAAGTGGTTAGAGCAACAGCGTATAGAGCCGAAGGTCATGGGTCCACATCCCCCTCGTTACACTAACTTTTTATCTCAACCAAAAACCTTAGATAAAAAAAATAATTAATATGGCCAATAATGACCACTAAGAAAATATGGATGAACTTAACATTTAACTTAATCTGTAAAGAAGTCATTTTAGTCTTATACATGTAACAATAATTGATGTTGGGTACGTATCCCATTATAAAATATTTTGCCTTGGAAGAAATCACTGGAACATACTTTATGCTCTTGAACGTGAAGGATTGTTTATCTTTCTATTGGTTGTTCACTGTTGGTTAATTTCTTTGAACCAATATTCGAACTTTCTATCTTTGGGTAGTTATTATTTCTAAAAATTTCAAAAGCCTTTTTAGGTTCACTCTAGAAGCATATACTGCTCAATGCCAAAACGCTCTGTGTCAAATTAGTAGCATAATTAAGTAAGTTTTTAGTTGAAATAAAAAAGTCAGTGTCATGTGAAGGATGCGAACCCACTCCTTCACTAAAGCTCTCTGTGGTCATTTCATTTGTCGCCGAGAATGAAATAGATTACACGACATTTGAAATGGCAAAAAGGAGGGAAAATTCAAAAGGTGGGGTTGAGATGGGAAGTGAGTGTTCGAGTGGATCGAGGTCAGGATAGCTCAAGTGGTAGAGCAGCAGCGTATCTAGCTGAAGATCTTGGCTTCGAATCCCGCTTGTGACACTGACTATTTTATCTCAAATGAAAACCTTAATTAATTGAATGTTATTAATTGATCATGCGGACCACGAAAACTACTGAATTTAATAAGTTAAATTAAGTATATCTCCACTAAAGCTCTCCGTGGAAATTTCATTTGTCGCAGAGAATCAAATAGATTACACGACATTTGAAAAATTGCAAAAAGTAGGGAAAATTCAAAAGGTGGAGTTGAGTTGGAAAGTTAGTGTCCGAGTGGATCGAAGTCATGATAGCTCAAGTGGTAGAGCAGCGGCGTATCTAGCCGAAGATCGTGGTTCGAATCCCGCTCTTGACACTGACATTTTTATCTCAACTAAAAACCTTAATTAATTGAAATATAGAAAGAATTAAATAAGAATACCATACATTTATGTATTCCTTATGCTTTTAAGGGCGATATAAGAAAGATCGTCCCATCGATGACCAGTTCTTTCGATCTGATGTTGTATGATCTAAATATTTTATTTCATTACACTTGAAATTGATATATGTTAACCCTTTACATTTTTAATTAAAGCTCGTGCCCAAAACCATAAATATTTAATTTTTAAAAAGTGGATTATTCTTATCATTAAAAAAAGTAATAAATACTAATAATTTAAAATTTGTTTTTCATAGTTGTTATGGTAATGAGTGTGCTTGCCTGTCCCTTTTGCTTACAGTGTATGTTATCTTGGTGTGACAAAGAACTCAAAATTGAAATTTAATTTACATATTGATTCTTTAGTCTCCCGTTTGAAAAAGCTCTTTTAAAAACTAAAAATTTTACGCAAATTTATGAAAATTGAACTCTTAAGAGAGAGTATGTATTAATGCACAATCCTTAATAGCCTATGGTGTTGTTTCCTGGGGGGAGGTACAAATACTCTACTACACTAAGATTCTGGATGTCTAAACTCACTTCTTAAAATTATTTTACATGAACGGTGTAGATACAATACAAAAAAAAATTATACAATGATTTTAAAGTAAAGAATTTATAACAAATCTTTCTTAAATGTTCATGTTTGTACATTCTTAAAAATAATTTTGTAACTAGTTACATCATTGAATATAACACAAGATATAATTCATTGGCTAACTCACATTTTCATAATGTAAAGACTACGCAATATTATAATTTTTCATTAAATATGGCACCTGTTTTTTTTTAATAAAGAGAGCATCATTGTTCAAAATTTCAAAAACTAAAAAGAAGGCAAAAAATTAATAATTTCAAAAATTATTATTTGATCATTTGAAGATCGTGAGATGCGGTCTGGTGTGACGTAGGTTTTAGAAAAAATATTTTCTTTATCGTGCCAACGTTTCTTTATTGAGATCATCTTCAGGGCTCAAAGTTTTTGTTTTTTATATAACACTTTGAGCCCTGAAGATGATCTCAATAAAGATCGAAACGTTGGCACGATAAAAAGAATGTTTTTCTAAAACCTACGTCACACCAGATCGCATCTCACGATCTCTAAATAATCATTAATTAACGGGCACTAAACACCACACAAATTTAAAAAATTGTAAATTATAGTTAAGATATTTTAAACCCAAGATTTAATTTGGTTAGTTTTTCATATTTCACGTTTATTCTGTTGTATGTTGGTTTATTTTTTTTTCACTTTGTAAGGATATTTTCTGTTTATTTCTCTGAGGATCTCAACAAACTCGCTTTACTTTTTGACAGCATGCAAGGATGTACTAAAATATTATTTTTTGTTGTAAATTTATATGCAATGTACATTCTTGCAAATAAAGATGTATTGTTATTTAAACGGAGCAAATGTCAATCCGTTGTCTTCAAAAATTTTTCCATCTTAGCCAAATAGTCCAAAGTTCTAGATTATTCCGATGATTTTAATTATGCCATGATTGAACCTGACTGCGGGTACGGTCGTTAATCGTGTCAAAGGATTGCAAAATTTTGCAACAAGTAGGAACAAGGAGGTCGTACGCTACTAAGCACAAGGAAAATTTTGTAAACTTTTTAGGTTTAATGATGGTTTCTGTTAAGTGTCATGTTATTATCCATAAACGATATTATATTTTATATGTGTCTGTCTTTTATTGTACTTCAGGCCTTTCCAATGTACTGTCTCCGTATCCGTAATGGTGTGTATGACATTTTTGTGTAGTGGCGTGTGGTGTTTATCGACCGTTAGCCAATGATTATTTGGAGATCGTGAGATGCGGCCTGGAAAAGGAGGCAAAACATTTTCTTTATCATGCCAACGTTTCGAGCTTTCTTGAGATCATCTTCAGAGCTCAAAGCGTTTGTTTTCCGTGTATATGTTTCATTCTTGTGTGTCGTGATAAGAGTGATCTCCAAATAATAATTTATGTAGTGGGTTGATTTTGTCAATGTTTTATATTGTTGTTAATAGTTTTTCGACTGTTTTCGAGGCTGCCAGTGCTGTTTAAATGATGAACTAAAGTTTTGATTCAAAAAAATACTTGACCAAAACAAATTGCAAGTCGTTGTCTTCATACTTGTCATCTTAGCCAAATATTCCAAATTTATAAATTGTTTTGATGATTTTAATCATGTCATGATTGAACCTGACTGCGGGTACAGTTTAATATGTAATAATAGGATTCAGGTCGTTAATGATCGCTTCAAAGGGTTGCAACAATTCTGCATCAAGTAGAATCAAGGAGGTCGTACACCAATTAGAACAAGGCAAATGTCGAAAGTTTTGCTAATTATTAAAAATTGCCGATTTTCGTTAGTTAACGTATAAAAAGGTTTTTATATTTTGTGCGGCTAAATGTCTCGTATATCAAGATGAAAACGATAAAAATATCCGCGATTTAACTTACGTATTTTCCTGCTTTATAATCGTGCAAAACGCGCTGCAAACTGGGTCAACAATTGCTTTTACTATTTATAAGTATAACTCTTTTTAAACAGCTTTTAATATTGCTCCGAAACATTAATTACAAAACTT